TGGGGACCCCGCGAGTTCGGAGCAGGTCTGGGGACAGGCAGCTGGAGTGAGTGGGTGCTGGTCCCCAAGGACGTGAGCTGGGCGCATCCTGAGGCTGGGCTCTAACTCCTCAGCTGTCCACGTCAAAGCAGGTCTCTCCAACCACCCCCTCCCACTAGCGCCGACCCAGGTGACTTGTGCGACCAGGAAGAGGCATAAGAGACAGCTAGAGATACTACAGGCTGGAGGTGTGTATGTGACCATTCACATGCATATACAGGAGCACTCATTTCTACACGTGGGCTCACACTCACGAGCACATGTACACACAACGCTTTTGCACCTACACGAGCATATACGCCTATACCCATACGTGACCACATATGTATACCCACAATTTACACAGATAAGCACGTGCAAAGTCCAAGCAAGGGTGTGTGTGGAGGGAAGGGGAAATTTAATGCTAATCCAGGAAGGCTTTCTGGGGGTATATCTGTATCTGATGGGGAGTCCCCACTCCCAGGACAAAGGCCCAGTGCTAAGCCCATGGAGCTCTACCTGATGGCTACGATTTGGGTAGTGGACAAGGACAGCTAAAGCCACAATCATTCTTAACCCTGGCATGCAGTAGTGGCTTGGTAGTTTGTTGATTGACTAACAGACCTGTGGCAGCAGCTTTCATCCCTCGATATTTCTCAATCTCTCTGGGCTAAGGAAACCAGGGAGTCAAGCCCAGGTAAAAGACCTCAGAAAAATCTGGCTGTTCTGGCAATTCTCAGTGCAGTGGAGCTGGACATAGTTGTTGTTCATTCATTCAACAACCTTTACTGAGCACCCAATAAATCATAGCCATTATGCCAGGCACTGGGGATTCAGCACTAAGTGAAGCTACAAATTTTTAATCATTGCCCCAGTGGAGGAGACAGACATTAAAAAATTATGAATATTGTGTAATTACAAATTATGTTGAAAGTATCAATTAAAAAAAAAAGAGTCCGTTTTGTGTTGCTGTAACAGAAATACCTGAGACTAGGTAATTTATGAAGAAAAGAGGTTTATTTAGCTTACAATTCTGGGACAGCTGCATCTGGCATGGGCCTCCGGCTGCTTCTACTCATGGCAGAAAATGGCAGGCAGCTGATGGGTACAAGCAGATCACATGGCGAGAGGAAGCAAGAGAGAGAGGAGGTGCCAGGGTCTTTTAAACAACAAGCTCTCACTGGAACTAACAGAGCAAGAACTCACTCATTACTCCCCCCACCTAGGGAGAGCATTAATCCATTCATGAGGGATCCGCCCCCATGACTCAACCAGTTTCCAACATCACCACATTGGGAATCAGATTTCCACATGAGTTTTGGTGGGGACAACACATCCAACCCCCATCAGTACATTTTGAATGGGCATAGGGGAGGGCAATCATGAAGCAGCTTTCTCTGAGAAACTGATATTTAAGCTATGACCTGAAAGATGACTAGGAGTGAGGTAGGTAGAAGTGGAAGCGGGATGAGGTAGCGAGCCTTCCAGGTAGAGGGAACAGCTTGCAGGAAGACCCAGCAAAGGGAAAAAACTCAAGGGAGGCCAGTGTAGCTTGAACTTAAGGAGGGGATGAAGTTGGAGTAGTGGCTATGGGCTGGATCACGCAGGGCCTTGTAGGCCTCGGTCAAGCGTTTAGATTTTATTTTAAGTGCAAAGGGAAGTCGTTGAAGGGTATTGGTGTCCTGGGAGTGATGATATGATCATAATTTCCCAGATGTTTTAAGATCTCTGGTTGTTCTTTGGGGACTGGTCCTTAGGGAGCAAGAATGGAGGCAGGTAGACCAGGTAAGCTGGGACAGTTAGTTCAAGAGATGATACTGACTGGACTAGGGGGATGGCAGTGGGAACAGTGAGTCAACTTTTAGTTTTAGTAAGAGTTATTTCGTTTGGCCCACTATATCTCCACCCTGAAACTCCCGGGTCCACTTCAGAGCAAAGATGGATTAACCCTATAACTCTCAGTCCTCCTGGCTCACCTATGTAAGCAGCAACAGGAGATATAAATCTCTGGGGTGACTAACTCTATCTGCATCAATTCTGTTCTCCCAAGGGCAAAGACCATCTTTCCCACCCACCTGGGTGGCCCAGTCAAAGCTGAGACCAGGGGCCCAGATTATAGCCTCCTAGTTGAAGACACAGGGTCCATGACCTGAACTTGAACCAGCTTGTTACCAGGAGGCTTCTCACTTGTATCTTTATCCTTCAGGTTTACGCATCCATGATTATTTGTACTTCCAAGTGCTGAGTCCTGGGGACATTCGATACATCTTCACAGCCACACCTGCCAAGGACTTTGGTGGTATCTTTGTAAGTACAGGGAGGCCCCTGATCTCTGATTCTTAACCTTCCCCTTCCGCTCACTGAGCTGTGGTAACCCTCATTCCACCTGAGTGCGGGGATAGAGAAGGGAGCAGAATCCAGTTCTGCCCTCCAGGAGCTGCAGTGAAGAAAGGAAGCGCTCCCAGCTACTGCCTTGGGTATAATACTGCCTCTGGGCACTGTGGAGGGGCAAGCTGTCTTCTTTGGAAAGATGAAATAATGAAAAACCAAGGGCACCAGCTTTCTCTGCCAGTTCTACCTCTGATGTATGTTACTTAAGACAGGTCACTTCCCCTTTCTGGGTCTATAACCAACTCCCCTACCTAGCTCATGGAAAGGCAGCATGGGGTAGGACATCCAGATAGATCTTTGTGATAATTAAAAATGCTCAAGTGTCCAGCAACACAAAACCACTTCACATTTCCTTCATACTCTGAGGTGCCAGTAAGATGGTATCCTCAGCCCAGTCCTAAAGTAGGTATGTCTCCTTACATTCTCACCTGTCCAAATGTCTAAACTTTTTCAGCACACAAGGTATGAGCAGATTCACCTTGTCCCCGCTGAACCTCCAGAGGCCTGTGGGGAGCTCAGCAACGGTTTCTTCATCCAGGACCAGATTGCTCTGGTGGAGAGGGGGTAAGAAGCTGGCAGGCCCAGGCACAAGGGGAGGGTAGGCATAGGACAGATTCTGAAATCACTGTTGGTAGTGGTACTTAGAAATAGCTTCTTTGAATAATTTGTCTTTTTTTTTTTTTTTCCTTTTTGTCTTTTTTCGTGACCGGCAACGGATCGCAACCCTCAGTGTGGCGCCCGTACCGGGCCGGGACCGGCCACGGGATCGCAACCCTCGGCGTTGTTCCCGCCCCTCGCTCAGCCAGTGAGCGGCCGGTCTGTATGTGGGATCCGAACCCTCGGCGGGAGCGCCACCGCGCTTCCCAATCGGCGCACTACAGCAGTGCGCCACCGGGCCGGCCTGAATAATTCGTCTTTTTAAAGGTCTTTAAGAAATGCCTTAAGATTATCCATGCTTTTGGCTATTTACTTATGAGCCTTTGTAACAAATTCTTTATGGTCCCCCTTTCATCTTCCCAGGGTGATGGTCTGGGGGAGGGATAGCTAGGACCTGCCTTTCCTTTGGTCTCATTGACACTTCTTCCAGGGGCTGCTCCTTCCTCTCTAAAACCCGGGTGGTACAGGAGCATGGTGGGCGGGCAGTGATCATCTCTGACAACGCAGTTGACAATGACAGCTTCTATGTGGAGATGATCCAGGACAGTACCCAGCGCACAGCTGACATTCCTGCCCTCTTCCTGCTTGGCCGAGATGGGTAAGTGCTCCTTGTCTCTGGCTATATCAGCACCAAGCTGGTTGCCGTAACTTGGGGGGACAAGGGTAATCACCAGTCCCTTCCAGTGGACCTCATTCTGGGGTGCCCTCAAAAAAAAAGTTTTCATGGGCTGGCCGGTTAGCTCAGTTGGTTCCAAGGTCAAGAGTTCAGATCCCTGAACCCACCAGTCACCCCCCTAAAAAAAGTTCTCAGGCTCTGGAGCTCCAGAGTGATGGGGACAGTGGGGCATGACGGAATGCTGAGAAAGTGACCATCGCCACCTCTCTTTGTGCCTTCCCAGCTACATGATCCGTCGCTCCTTGGAACAGCACGGGCTGCCGTGGGCCATCATTTCCATCCCAGTCAATGTCACCAGCATCCCCACATTTGAGCTGCTACAACCGCCTTGGACCTTCTGGTAGAAGAGCTGGTCCCACAGTCCAGCCATAAGTGACTCTGGGCTGGTAAGGGGAAACCCAGGAATTTTGACATTTGAAATCTGGGGACAAGTGGAGCCAGGTAGAGGAAAAGGGCTTGGGCCTTGGCTAAGCTGAAGGAGGGAAGGCACACCACTGGTTTCCCTTTCCCAGGGCCTCCAAGGGTATCTCATGCTATGGGAAGAAGCAAGAGCCAGGCCCCAAGGCTTCAGGCTAGAATCTGGAACAAAAAGAGCTAAAGGCATGAAGCCCGAGAGCCATCTGTGTCTGGTCACATCCTACCTGATTCCAGCCTCCCCAACCCAGGGTCTTGTCACAGTGACCTTCACAGCAGTTGCTGGGGTGGTTTAAGGAACTGGTGTTTGGGGACTCAATAAATCCTCATTGACTTTTTAGCAATAAAGTTTCCCATCAGGGTTGCAACTGTGTCCTAGAATAAAAGCACATGGGTGGAAGGGCCTTCAAACTCATTCATCTAGTCCCATACCATAATTCTGAAGGAAGGAAATTGAGACCCAGAGAGGACAATGATTGCTCAAAGTCCTTTAGGACCAGTGCTCAGACTGCTAGTCTTGGATCCCAACATAGCTTCCTGCTCAAGAGATGAGGAAGGCCTGGGAGAGAATCCTCTGGGGAGAAGACTCATCCTGTAGCCTGGTCCGGGAATCCAAACTGGACCTCAGAGGACCTGTGCTCAGGGTCGTTAGGAACATTTGCATAGCAGAGTGTAGCCCAAGATGAGACCAGAGATAAGCCCAAGATGGGGAGCCCAGAACTCCGATTTCCTGCCATCACCTGGTCTAACCTGTGCCCCTTTGCACCTTTGACTTTGCACCCTTTGGCTGCTGCATGCCCTGAGCAGCCTGTCTAGCCATTCTCCACAAAGCATTCCTCCAGAGGCCTGTCACCACTCACATTTTATTGAGAATAGTGGGCAGGCAGGGGTGGGAGAAGGGTGCTGGCCACTGTGAAAGGAATAATATCCTAATAGGTAAGGGGGCCAGAAAGGCAGGTTCCACCTGGCTCCATGATCCCGGAAAGGGCCTGTGGGGTGGGAACCCTCAGCAGAGGGATGTGGCAGGCTCCTCAGGGAAGGTAGGCAGGAAGGCATTGGGACTGATGGGTGATAATTCCACAGCATCCAACCCAACAGTGAGCAACAGGGGTGGTGCTAGTCTAGGGGAAGGAGAGATGTGGTCAGGGCTAATCTCCTCTACGTTTCTGGAAGACTTCAATGTTCCTCTGTAGAGACCCTAAAGATGGAGACTGAGGATGGGAGAGCCCCTCACTGACCGATTTTACCTGCCCTGGGGAAAGATTAGGGCATCCTAAATTAAGGACAGGTCTGTCATCTACCAGGTCTCTGTCATGCTGCTGGAGTCCTCAGTGGGAACAGTGTGAGAAAAGGTGAAAATCCCCCACATACCCTTACTGAGGCAGGCAGAGGCCTCTTCCATACCCCATGGAGCCAATCACTGTGCCAGGATTTGAGAGGCAAAGCACAAGGTATGGATTCTGGAGTCTAGGGCAGGTGTTATTCTCCACTTCCCCAGATGTCCAAATGGTGGGCGTAGTGGGGAAGAGGGAGGTAATCCCCCCAATCCAGAGTCTTGGCAGAGCCTTGGGGAAGGTGCTTTGGAGGCCCAGATCCTTCCTGCCTCTCCCTGCTGGGCTAGTGGTCAAATAGTTTCCTTACCAGCTACAACAGTGGCAGGTGGGAGGTAAGGAAGGTCAGGGTTCTTCACTACTTCCCCTTTCTGTTTCAATGAAATCAGTCTCTTCAGATTTGCCACGTTTTTAGCCCCTCAAAATAAATCAACAGCAAGTTGGAAGGAGGGATGCCAGTGGATGGGCGAGTGTGGGCTACGGGGCCAAGGGGAAGAAATACCGTTAGGCCCTGACCCTGGTTCCAGCCCCTCACACCTTGGAGTGGAGTAACCTCAGGGGGAAGCCAGTTCTGAAAGGCTCAGGGACAGGGCAGAGCCTGAGCCAACTCAGCAGCAGTGTCCAGGGCATGAGGTCTGGTGGGGAATTGGGGGCCTAGGGTCCAGCCTCTGTCCTACCCTCTGGCTGAGAGAATTGGAATGGAGGGAATGCAGGCAAGGGAATGGGGAGTTCCTTCCAAGCCTCTTGTCCAGGGGAAGGGCCCCCTTTTCTGGCATGGTCTGGGGCAGGGCCCCTTCTGGGCAGGGCAACATCACACATCAGTCATCTCATCCCCGAGCTCTGCATCTTCTGGCTCTCCTTCCTCTTCTTCCTCCTCTTCCTCCTCCGAGGTCACATTGGGTTCATCAGCCTCTGCCAGGCATTTGGGGCAGGAACAGACAAACAAATAGTTCTCCCTGCAGGGGTTGGAGGATGGTGAGGGTGAAAGTTAGGCAGCCACTGGGGTGGAGGACCACAGAGCCCAGCTGCCCAACCACATCCCTAGCTGGCACCTGAGGATCTTATGGCGGCTGTGGCGGCTGCGCTCCCGTTGACAGCAGTCTAAGTAGCTGATACAGATTTCCTGTAGGGCAGAGGAGAGGTGGGGTCTGACAGCCTGTGCTCCCTATTAGGATAAGGGATAAGGGCCTCCCCAACAAATGTCCTATCTCCAACCACTGTCCCATCCCAGGAGCCAGGCCTGAGCTGCCCTTCAGTGAAGGGGTGGGCTGCCCTGATCCATTCCCCTGTGCCTTCAGCAGACAGGCCACTATGAGGCTCCAACAACCTGTATCTGACAGAGAGGAGACTTCGGTTAGCCTCAGGCCGTGGTGAAAGTCAGTCAGTGGCCAAGGTCTGTGGCTGGGATCAGAGGTTATCTTGGTGTGATGCTACCTGCCCTGGAAGAAGATTCAACCAGGTTCTATGCACTGAACTAACAGCCAGGAACCCAAACCCACACTAGCCCCCCACAGCTCGAGATACCGAGTTCTCTCCCACTTTCCTAGAAGCTATAGATCTGTTGATCAAAAGGTGGCTGGGGACAACAACCTGGTCACAGTTGTCCCTCTAACACCGCTCCGCTCCGAAGCTTTCTGAGTTACTTTTCGAAAAAGTGGGTGGGGTTAGAACATACCCATAAAGATTCAGGCCCTGAGGCATATGGGGATTCAACCCAACAGCCTGAACTTGAATTGCTCTAGTCACTGCTGCTCCCAACCCCCACAGAGAACTTTCAAGGCCCACTGCCCACCCATCCGTCATGGCTCCTGGCCACCCTCACCTCTCCTGGCTTAATATCCTCCAGGGCGGTGACATGCAAAAGGAAGTTGTTTTCTGGGAAGGAGGTCTCTGCATTGGGGACACAGCTGTGGTTGCCTGGGTCACAGGAGGCAGGTAATGAGGATTATTGACTAAAAAAAAATAATAGCCTCAACTCTGCAGAGCACTGGGTCTCATCCTTTCTTGCTCTCTGATCCCTGCTGGAGCTGAGCAAGTACTGGAACCCCAGTTTCCTGACTCCCCTTCCTGAGGGCTTTCCTGAGGACCATGGAGCACAGGCACAAATGCACTGCCACATCACTTCCCACTCTGACCTCCCGTGACTGGCGAACTTCACTCTCAGTTGTGTTCCCATTGTCTCACAAAGAGAGGGACAGGACTCTGAAGGGATGCCCACACCAGAACACTTAAGTCACTTCTTTCTGCTACTGGACATCTGGTAATGGCTGACTGAGGCTCTCTGAGAGCCCAGTTTGGGAGGGGTAGCATGGCCCTGACTCCTGGGAGGAGGGGTCTGCCGTAAGGAAACCAGGGGGTGGGAAACAGATCTGGAAAAGGCAGTTGTCTGAGCTGGCTCTGCCTCTCCCCATCAGGTGCTGATGAGACTCACCTTCTAGCCTGAGCTCCCTCTTCCCAGGATCCTGAGGGTCCCCAGGCTCTCCCATACTCTCCTACCAAATCTCACAGGGCAATGATGGTGCAAAGCCCATGAATTTGCCAGAATCAGAGCTCTATACCTGCCTTATCCCGGGGCCTGTCCCACTGTAAGCTTTTATATACAAGCATATGTTAAAGCATGAGCAGGTGAATAAATGAAAAAATGATAGAAAGAGAAGGTCCAGGGTAATGCCCAAAGAAGCTCAGACCTAACCCCACTCCCAGACTCAACCCTACCAGCCTAGAAAGGGCCAACCAAGAAGTATGAACTGTGGCTGTGAGGCCACCTGGTCAAGGCAACGCCTTGACCCAACACCTGGGACCAACCCTCCTCAATGGCGTGACTCACAGCAGCTCTGAAGCACAAAAAGGCCAGATCCTTCACAGTTAAGAAACTCGCCAGTTGCTGTAAAACAGTAATATGCAGATGTTATCAACCCATTTTACAGGTGGGAAAAGGAAACTAGGCTCTCAAAGGACAGGCACTGGTCCCACTCTCTTGCCACCCCACCACACTAATGCACCCAGTCCCTACCATTTTACCTAAAATTGCTTCTCTGAGGTACAAGCCTTGCTTTTTTGTGTACAACATCACGCCATTTGTCCAGCACTCCCCCTCCTCCCAGCATCAAGCCTCTGGATGGATCTTGAGGCCATTTCTCACCTGCATGTCCTGTGGACAGATCTGAAGCTCCCCACAAGGCACACAGGGATTACCTTCCCCCACCATTAACTCAGAGCTCCCTAAGGAAAGACTGTGTGTCCACCATCTGACTTGGGGGTTCTCCAAGGTTGGGTGAGGCCAAGGCCGAATCTCACCAACCTGCCTCGATGTCCTTGTATAGCTGGTCAATGAAGGCATCCAGCTGCTCACGGTCCTGAGGCTTCAGCTCCAGAGCATCACAGGCATGGACCCACTGGCTCAGGGAGCTGGGGGGTCCCAAGCAGCCCGTGGTTGGAGAGGAGGAGGTCCAGGTCACAGGGCTCTCCACCTCCAGGCAAGTTAAGCCCAGAAAGAAGGGCATCCCACCTCCATCCCATTTCTGTCTCCAAGGGGGGGCTCCATCTTCCCCAACAGATCAAGGCTCCCAAGAGCAGACTCTACTGCCTCATTCATTCTGACTCCACACCACCGTGTCCAGTTCAGTGCTCTGGCCACAGAGTCACACCCTACCCCACCTCAGTTGTGAAAGGAGCTGTGGCTGCCTTCTTCAATCAATCTTCTACCCGGGCCCTGAGGGATAAGCTCTGAAACATTCTCTCCTAACCTGGTCCCGATTCCTTGGCCATTGGTCCCAACAAGAGCAAAGAGAGACCGGAATCCATCTGGAGTGAACCACTATTGGGGAGAAAGAGAGGAGACGAGCACTCAGGTTACAGCCACTTGCTGATGGACTCCATTCAGGAAGTCACGTGTAAGTCAGTCCCATCCCATCTCCAGAAGATGGATTTGGCTTTGGCTTAACTGTCCCAGAAGGAGATGCTGCTCTGATTGCTCCTGGAGAACTGAAGTAACAAGGAGGCCACTGGTCCTGACCTTCCCATGCTCACCTGGCTGAGAGCTTCCTCATAAAGAGCCTCTGTGAAGAGTCTCCGCAGAAGTTCCAGTTGGCCCTGGTTTAGGGGAAGCAGGGAGAGACTTGCATCCCTGGGGATTTCCCGTTAGTACCCAGTCAGGGCCCAGAAGACTAAGTGAGGGGAGGAAAAAGGGCCAGCTCTGTAGATTGAGCTTTCCCTGGGGGCAAAAGAAGGCTACAGAGTCCTTATCTCCAAAGAACTTTGGCAGGCTGATGGCCGCTCCAACCCAGGGTGGCAAACCCAACATTTCTCCCCATTTTCCTACACTTGTACCAGCAAGTCTGAGGCAGCCTGGCTGACAATGTCTGTCCTCACCACCACCCTCCAGACTCCCTCAACCTGGCCTCAAGACTAGATGAACTCTCCCCTTCCTTTCCTCTGAACTCCATGCAGGAAGGCTCGCCTCTACTCTCAGGTAGCTCCTGCTGTCCTCAGTGAGAAGCTGTGCTCTTTGATTGGGAACGGGCACTCAGTATATTGGCAACTTCACACTGCTCCCTGGCTCTATGGACCCCCAACCGTCCATACTTCCCTTATACCTGATTTGGGTATGAAAGGGGTCCTGCCTTCCCACACCAGTGTAAACAGCACGTTCAGAGCAGGGCATCCACCCACTCTGTCCTCTGTCATCACCCCACTTCCCCACTTTCCAATTTTAGGTCCACATTAAGTCATGAAGTTAATAGTGGCAGGAATGAAACTCCTCTGAATTGATGTTTGGGTCCAGGTTTTAACCTCTTCCTGTGGCTGGGAAGGGACCAAATGTGGAACTTCTCACAGATAGCCAAAGACATCCCAGGCTATTTAGGGAAGAAGGGGAGATGGGTCATGGGAGAACACTAACCTTGAATTTGTCCCCCAGGAGTTTGTGGACAATTTCCTCCTCTTCATTGGCCGTTTTGTTACAGAACTGGGCGAAGAGCCTGATCCAGCGGTCCTTATCCATAGCCTGCAGTGAACAAATACATTTAAGGGTCACGGACACCAACCTCCTTACTGGCACTCCTGCCCATGTGGGAGGGGCAGCCTGGTTCTAAAGCCCCTGCCATCAGGGAAACACCACCACACATGAGCATCAAGGGGCCCTTCCTTTGCCTGAGAGACTTCTTTCCCACATGGCCCACCCCCAACCACCTCCCCAAGTGGAGTCCAGCTAGCTGTTTCAACAACATCTGGAAAAATAGGAGAACAAGGCTGAGGAATGACGGTATTAACAGAGAAGCTTCTCCCACTTTATGTAAGAGACACGGTCCTGAAAACGTGGTGCTTATAAACGGAATGCATGAACTGCTGCTGCACAAGACATCTGCTCATAGATCAAGGACTGCAAGTAAAATGAGCCCATTCCTCCATTACCCATGCCTGATTTATGTTCACCATACTCCTATTTATGTTTACATAGCAAGCAGCTCTCCTTTGGCAAACCCAGGAAGAACTCTGCATCCGGCTAGGGCCTTAAGGTGAGGAGAAAACTGAGACCAAGGTTTGAATGGGGCCAAAGTCAGCTTCCCTGGAAGAGTCACGTGAGCCCACCTGTTTCACTGTGGCTACCATCCGGGCCATCAACATGATGCTTGCAGTCTCAGGGGGGTAGTGAACACTCCTGGGGAAAGAGAAAAGAAGTGTGGCCTAGAAATTCCCTCCCCAGTAACTGTGCTCAAGGAAACCCAGTCTGACTACCACAGAGAAACCTTCCGACCAATTCAATCAATTACAAAAGAGAGAAAGTCATAGACAGGAACTTCAGCAGGACTTTGCATCCCTATGGGCTTAATGGGGCTCTTTCTGGGAGTGTGTAAACTGCTGAGGATAATGGGACTGGGAGCCCAGATTAAAAGCAGGGGGTTGGGTAATGTGACCTCTGTTTAACCCTAAGAATGGAGGAAAAATCTGGGGGATGGTAACTTAAGAAAGATAACCACATCTCCTAAGTACAGGCAGGCAGGGAGGGAAGGATGAAGGAAAGATGAGAGGAAAAGAGACCTACCTCCATGCCTCCTGCAGCTTGTTGAGAGGATGGAGGGGGTCATCCTGGGAGGGGCCGGGGCACAGGACCTGGTGGTATTGCTCAGCAGCTGCCAGCCGACATTCTGCACTGCAGTACATCACCTGTTAGGTGGGGTGGAAGTCAGGTTAGCACCCTAGGATCTGGCCATGGGGTAAGGATGTGTGAGGTGCATACATCCCATGTAGTACTCACCTCTTCTAACCGCATTCCTTCCATAGCTCCTGAGCAGTAGCTCAGAGGTGTCATGAGATAACACAGGTTGTTCTGGGGGCATGTGAGAGAGGCACCTAACCTAGGCTTGTAAAAGGAAAGGGACCCCTTGCCAGGCCCCTAAGAAGGCAAGCCTCCACCAATCCCATTTTCTAGGCAATGGAACTGGGACAAGGAGAATGAAACTGGAACGGTGACTGAGCCGTTTCAATGTCTTACCCTTCATACTGGTTCTCAAGGGCCATGACTAGGTCTGTCTTTGCTCCTGTCTCCCCAATGAGGACTTCAGCTAAGACCTCCCTTGCCCACCCCCTTTCAAGTGCACTCCCCAGGGATGCTCACCTGGCAGTGGGGACAGTTTTGGTGGAGGTCCTTGTGCACAGTGCACAGCTCTGGGTAAGGCAGAACCTGGTCTGGTTTCCCGGTCAGCCTCTGGGCATTCTCCTCTGCCTTCTCCAGTGCCCGAAGGCAGTGGTCACAGGCTGAGGGTGACAGATACAACAATGTAAGTGTCTCGAAAGCAGGGGCCACATCTGTCCTTTTCAAGTAGTGTCCCCAGTGCTAGAATGGTGCCTGGCACATAGCAGGTGTTCCATAAAAGTTTGGGAAGTGAGTCAGTAAATGAATGACTACATTAAAGAATGGGATAAGTGAATGAATTTCACAGCATCCAAAGGTGGATGACCCTTCCTCTCAAGAACTCCTAGCCTCTCTTGTGTAAGTCTCCCTGCTTCTCAATCAAACTTGGTCTGTGGGCTCCTCCCACCATCACCCTCAGACTGGGCTTTCACCACACTCTGGAGCCGATAACCTTCCTTTCATGGTTTGTCTCTAGCTTAAGAAAAGTGTGAAAAAAAGTGCGTGGCCAGCTAAAGCTAAGGGCATCCTACTTGCTTCTGACTCCTAACTCAGCCTTCTTAGAACAAGGGCCACACAGCCTCTTCTTGGTATTGGGCTCCACTTTGGCACGTCCAGTCCCTTATACTATGGGGCCAGACTCTAAGTTCTGCCTGAGTGACAGTCCTCCTCCAAGGAGCACATCAAAAGAGTCTCCTACTGCAGGTGCCCAGCCCCAAACACCTGAGATTGGACAGAGGTGTGGTTCTCAGGCACAGCTCTCCAAGGGAAGACAGCACTTCCTCCCAGCACCCAGAGTCCCAGAGACATCAGCCAGTAGGAATGTATCAGCTCTTTTCCATGCACAAAGGTGACTGGGCCCAGCAGCCATGAGGAGTAGGAGAGATGTGCTCACCTCGGTAGTGATAAAGTGCATTCCAGAGAAACTGTGCAGCCACCAGGGGCCGTTCTACAAAGATGGTCTCCCCTTTCCGGATCAGCTGTGTGGCAAACAGCCCCTTTCCCTAACAGGGCAGAGAAGGAAGAGGATGGCCATAAGAAGGGACAGAAGACATAGCTCCAAGAGCCCCCAGAAGGCTGTCCAGCCTCACCCCTACATGCCTCACTCTTAGCAGAAGCCTCTGCCTCTGAAGATTTGTAGAGTATGGTCAGCACCCTTCATAACTGCTTCTTCTGGAAATGTAGCTCTGACCTACTTTCAGCTGCACTTCTTTCAGCCCATTCAGAGCAGAAGACCTGGGACAGGGAGGGAGCCACCACGGCAGCCACCTCAGACTGCTCAGAGGAGGAGAACTTTTAGAATGGCCAGAGAAAGGCCAAGGCTCATAGCAGACTGCAGCCTCCTATACCAGGAGCTGGTAATGGCAGGGGAGCCTTCTCTGAGTCACCTACATGCCCCTTCAGGATCTTAGCAGTGGTGCTGCTGCTCCGGGTTGCAGAGAAATCCTACACTACAGGACAGAAAGGCCTAGTTTGGAGGAGAATGTGCCCTCTTTTTTGGTCAGCTGGATACCCATAGCACCTAGCACAGCACCTGGCACCCAACAAGCACTCAGGGGTTGCACTGAAAGGAATGAGCTAATCCTAGCACCAGTCCTAATGTTAACTTGCTGTGAACCTTTGAGCCAACTACTTTACCTCTTTGCATCTGTTTCCCATGTGAAAAGTGAGTATTATAATAATAACTACCAGGTAGTTTCCAGAATGCAATTGTCATGGACTTTTGATCTCTAGCTCCTTACTGCTCAATGGGAGGTACATGGACTAGCAACATAGGTATCACCTGTTGCCCACTGTTAGAAATACAGAATCTTGGGCCCCACCTCAGACCTGCAGAATCAGAATCTACATTTCAACAAGATGCCAGGTTTATTCATTTGCATGTTAAAGTTTGAGAGGAACTGGTCTAAAACACTATATATACATCATGTAAGGGATGAATGATGAGAAAACAGCCTCTGAACTACCACCTCTCAAATGTGCAAAAGAACTCAGGAGATGGCTTAAGAACCTAGGCAGTTACTGGCCTGCTGGGCACTTACTCCTGCTGCTCAGCTAGAGAAGAAGGATGATGCTCCTGCCAATATTGAGCCACCACAACAAAGAAAGAGAAAAAAAATGCTTGACACAACAGCAAAATGTCCTGTCACTGTTGCCTCCTGGTAACTCCCTGCTTCCATCTAGCACTGGCACTCTGGCCAGACAGGGGCACCTCCCAAACGCAGAGCAGCAGGGATGTGTAGACCACAACAGGCCCTAAGTAACCCATGAACCACAAATGTCAACCCTGTGAACAACTCTGGGAGCTCCATCTAACAGTAGAATGGGAAGGTGAAACAAAGCTGTGGACCCTTGACTGTCTTCCTGAAAACCCCACCTCCATACCGTGTAGCTCCTGGCACCCAATCTAGCAAAATAAAAACTTAGCCTTCTTCTTTGGGACAAAATGACATGACAAGGGACCCACATTATCTCTGACAATCTCAAATCTCAATATTGGACAAATATAGATCTCCCTCTCCCTCCTTCTGGATGACCAAATGCAGGAAATATTTAGTAATCCAAACAAAAGGAAGGGCCGGCTGTGGCTCACTTGGGAGAGCGTGGTGCTGACAGCACCAAGTCAAGGGTTAAGATCCCCTTACCGGTCATCTTTTAAAAACAAAAACACAACAACAATAAAAAAAAAATTTTTTTTTAAAAAAGGAAAAGAATCAGAGTTGTTCCTTCATGAAGTCACTCATCCCCAAAAAAGATGAAAGTATTTCAAGAAAAACAGCTCTAATTCATAATACCAAGAAGGTTGGAGAACACTGAACCTGAAAGGGACAACCCATACAAACATATTTCCAATTTGAAAAATAAGTTTTAAGGAAAGATTGTGCAAAACTTTAAGTTTATGTAGTAAATTTGAAAATCTTGATTAAATTATTGTTTTTCTAGAAAAATACGAATGACCACAAGTGAATTCTAAAGGAAGAAAATCCAGACAGACTAATAAGTCATGCTGATATCTGGCTAGTGTGCACCAGTATGAAATTTCAGCTGGTGTCCACTGGACCTGGTCAGTTTTCCGTTATAACGGACCATGTCCCTGGCATAGTAGCTGGTAAACATTTGAAAATCATTCCTGCCAATATCCACAGAAAAAATTAAAAGTTATCAAAAACTACCCCCATATAAGATCCCATACGGTTCTGTTATGAGGCACAGGTCTAGCTGCCTGCCCCCTTTCAATAAACAAACCACTCAAAAGACAAATGTTGGTGAAAATGGAAGTCAGCTTTATCCATGAATACCGGTGACTCGAGGAGAGGAGAGATGTTACCCTAACTTATCTCTTTGGTAAATCTGAAGGAGAATGGCCAGACTAAAGCCATCTCAAAGACTCAGATTTGCTGAGAGGTTTTTAAAGGCAAGGCTAGAGGGAATGGAATGTGGGAAATGAAAAGCAGGAGGGAGGGGGAGGTGCAAGGGGCCAGGTGCAAATTTTTGCCAAGGCTCCATCTGGTTTCTACTCCCCTCCTTGCTGTTATCTCAGGGTCTGGGTAGGGTCTGCAAGTCTGCAGCTTCAGGCTGGCTGGAAAACAACTTTACACTTATATAAATGATGTCATCTTGCCCCATAACCAAGGTTTAAGATATCATATAACCATGGGAAAAGAGGGAACTCAAAGAAATACATGCCAAGAAAAAAACTGTGTCCTTTTAAAATCTGCCTACAGTGCATGCAGTTTTTGGTCCCAACATGGCTTCAGTACTACTCCAACAGTTTCACGAGCCAATTCTCTCATACTTTCAAAGAATAAATAATTCCCATGCTATTTAAATTATTCAGTAACAGAGGAAAAAGTGGAAAGCTTCTCCATTTTACTGAAAAACAAGAATAACCCTCATGTGGTTACCTGAAGAAGACAGCACAAAGAAAAATAAAATCACAAACCAATCTCACTTGGTGAAGACAGATGCAAAAAGGATAGGATAAACCATCTTGTTACCAAGTCCAGGTAGGTATGCAGCCTTCTACACTAGAAGCAGCTCAGGTGTAGGCATGGAGAAGGCAATCAATCAGCTGGCATCTTGATAGAAGGCTGGGACAGGACAACTGGGCAAACAGAGTGGCTGAAGTGATGAAGTGAGAGGGAAGTGAAGAAAGGAGGGGGCTGAGAGATTGAGGGCTAATGAAGATAAAAGTGAATATCACTGCAAGCTAGGAGTGATCGAACTGAGACACCATCAAACTGTAGGGCACCCAGCAGCACAAGCGGCTCTCGGTGGAGATGGAGATGTCAGCAGTTAAGGAGACCAAGGATGCAGGCGAGCTGATTTACCACTGAGTGTTTAGATGCCTCTGGAGCAGAAAGAGGAAAAAGGAAGACGGGGCTGGGAAACTGAATCAGTACTACGATGATGAGAGCAGGAGACAATGACCAGAGGCTAACATCTTGGACAAAGACCAAGGACACACACAGTCACTACACGTAATTATTCAACCTTACCAGTAACCAAAGAAATGTAAATGAGAAGTAATATCATTCTGCGCAAGTCAGTTGGCAAATATAACTAGGAAAGAAAATAGTGCTGGAGAGAACAAAAGGATGTCTGCACAGAAACTGACCTCCAAGAGCTTTAACCCCAGGGGTGAAAAATAAGGCACAATAAGGCCGGCCCGTGGCTCACTCGGTAGAGTGCGGTGCTGATAACACCAAGGCCACGGGTTCGGATCCTATATAGGGATGGCCGGTTTGCTCACTGGCTGAGCGTGGTGCTGACAACACCAGGCCAAGGGTTGAGATCTCCTTACCGGTCATCTTTTTAAAAAAATAAAATAAAAATAAGGCACAATAAAGGGTCCATAAATAAGGGGTTGGTTGAACTGTGGCCCTCCCATGAAACAGACTATTACTTAGCGCTTAGAAATGAGTATGTAGAAAGAGATTTATTGATACTGAAATATGCAATGCTGCACCAAAAAGCAGTTTCTAAGAATGTAATTTTAATACACACGTATTTGCACAAGTATAGGATTATGAGTAATTCCTATCTTTTCTTTCCTTACATGCATTTTATATTTTTTTCCACAATAAACTTTTAAAACACGATAATAAAAACGACAAAATCATGTCACTCTCCTACTTAAAACCCTTCAAATGCTCCCGCGGCCTTTGGGCTCTGGTCAAAATTCGTAAGGGTACAAAGTCCTTCATGAAGGGTCCTGCCCTGTCTCCTCATCCCGCCAACCAAATCTTACTCAGAAGTTCCCTGAGGACCCACGCTTTTCTATATCTCCGTTCCCTCTGCCCGGCACGTCCCCACCCACCGCTCCCATGGCCCAGCAGCAATGCTTCCATCTTGGCTCGGAGCAGCCGTAGCAGAGCCGCTGGCGGGCGGGAAGGGCTCCGCGGGGAGGGGGCGCGCAAGGAGACACCGGAGGTCCTAGTCCACTGCGTGACCGCGTCAGGAGCCTGCGTGCGGGGACAGACAGGGAGCTCCCCGGCCGCGAAAAGGGGTCGGGCCGCAGCGTCCAAGAGACACAGGAGCCGCTAGGCTCCGCGCATAGGGCCCCTCGGGGCTGTCTCCAAGGCCGGATGGGGTGGGGTTCCCTGTAGGGTCTGCCTCGGCCTCACCTTAGCGCTGTTCACGAAACGGACTTCTACGGCGGCCCGGGCCCGCCCCGCCACGCCCACGCAGAAGGAGAACACGTCGCACATGGAGGCCGCCATCTTGGGCGCGCCTCCGCTTTCTGACCCCTGACCCCGCCTCGACCCGGGAGGCCCCGCCCCCGCGTGAGTTTGGCGTGGCTGCGAGGTTTTGTGGTCTAGAGAGTCGGCATTTAGATCCTTTGGTTTGTTGACTGGGCGTAGCTAGGCCTGCCTTTGTGCCTTTACCTCTGTGTATTTGTGTGTGTGTAGGGTGTCGGTGTCCTCTGGCATGTACTTCTGTATCACAGTCCGTGTATGCGTACGTAGTGTTGATATGTGTATCTGAGTCCGAGTTATGTTCGCGTGTCTACTTTTGTTTCTGTCCAAACAGCGGCCTTTGTTTGACACAGCCCTGGACCCAGGGATAGGACAGCAGAAGGCAGACGTACTCCTATCCTCTCTGACCTTCAACTTGAAGGGAAGAACTGGCTTATACCCTGGGGCTCACTCACCTATCTGGCCATCCTAGAGAGTCTATGCAAGGTGACCTTTCTCCGTTAACCCTCTGACAGCGGGTCACACAGTCCTACGAAAGATCAAGCTGGACTTGTGCCTCTCTCAGATTCTTCAGGGGCTTACAGACCTTGAAGCCTGGGGGTGGTGGAGGGGCCCATAGTGGACCTGAGGTCTGAGGACCCCTGAAATTGTATGTAGAAGTGGGTGTGGGGCCGGCCCAGTGGCGCACTGGATAAGTGCGCCGTGCTTGGGAAGCGCGGAGGCACTCCCGCCCGAGGGTTCGGATCCCACATACAGACCGGTTCCCGCTCACTGGCTGAGTGAGGCGCGGGAGCAACACCGAGGGTTGCAATCCCGTTGCCGGTCCCCGGTCCGGTACGGGGGCAACACTGAGGGTTGCGATCCGATCCGTTGCCGGACACGGAAAAAGACAAAAGACAAAAAAAAAAAAAAGAAGTGGGTGTGTACATGCACATTGTCGTGAGACTGGGAGAGGGGCCTGTTGTATCGTCCAGGACCCCCAAATGCTGCGAAACACTGACCAATGGCATCTGTCTCAGGCTTGACCACCATGCCTTATTTTTGTTTCCTTGTCCCCCAATTGATTTTATGTTCCATGAAAAGGGACCTGCGTCTGTATCTGGTATGGTCTCATGGTGATACTTGGGGATTGGGTAGAGCCCAGTAACTGCTGAACAGGTAACTGTTGATTTAGAAAACGAAAACAAAAACGGTGAGCCACTTATTCCTGGAAGAGGCAGATGATGCTGAATTCCTTTGATTAATAGGGTTGACTTTGGGTCCAGCGTTGGGAAGGACTTCCCTGAAGACAGGGACAGGAAAGGGTTCTTGAAGCTGGACCCTGTCTTCCCTGAAGCCTGCCACCTGGTCACCAGGAGAGGATGGTCCGCTGCCGTAAGTAAAGGTGATCTCTCCCAAGGTGGCCTCCACTCCCTGCCTTCCCTTCCCCCCCTCCCTCAGAAAACTCTGCCTGAGAGCACCTAGGGATCGTTTTCTCTCTTACCACTAGGTGGCAGGGCAGACCTCCTTCCACCTGCTCACCCCAGCTCCCAGGAGCCTTTCTAATCTCCATGGTTTGTGCTACAGAAATCAGCTCTGAAAATACTGATGGCAGGCTTCTTAGAAAGAAACCAATCAGATTCCTGAGAAGGAAGGGGAGCCATGAGTTAGGTTCATGAAGGGGGGGAATAATAACTGTCTGGAAATACAGCAGAGTTTATGACAAAATGCCAGCCCTGATAAAGTCAAATTTTTCTATTCTCTATAAAGATGGGAGGTAGTCAAGGCAGGTAGCTGGAGAGGAAAAGATGGTGGTCAGGGTAGCACGTTGTTCAAAGAAGGCAGCTGGGCCTGCACTCCTTCTGAGAGTGGTAGCTTTGGGAAACTGTGAGAAGTGGGCTAAACGGTCTGCCTCTCCCTCCTCTTTGCTCTCAATTTCATCTACCCCATATCTGATGGGGAAGAGTCTTAAATCTATGCCTAGGAACTGATTCAAGGAGGCCCCTTCTCCTCCACAGCCAAGCCAGGAAAAGATTAATCCCTGGGAGGCTGGGGCTGGTGCAGGTACCACTCCCCCAGGTGAGGGGAGCCTATAAGCCTGAACAGTTATCACACACTTAGCCCTGGGCCTGGCATATTATAAGTAACTTACAGACATCATTTCACCCCTGGAGAGAGAAAGCAAAAAGAAAGAAAGCAAGAAAGTGCAAGGGCGAGAGAGCAAGCGAGCAAGAAACCAAGCAAGCAAGAAGGAAGGAAGGAAAGAGAAAGAAAGGAAAGAAAGAAGGAAGGAAGGAAGGAAGGAAGGAAGGAAAGAAGGAAAGAAAGAAAGAAAGAAAGAAAGAAAGAAAGAAAGAAAGAAAGAAAGCAGAAAGACAGCGAGAAAGCAAGAGAGAGAGCATGCGAGCAAGAAACCAAGAGAGAAAGCAAAAAGAAAGTGAGAAAGCGAGAGAGAGCAAGCAAGCCAGAAAGCAAGTAAGCAAGCAAGCAAGAGAGAGAGAGAGAGAAAGAAAGAAAGAAAGAAAGAAAGAAAGAAAGAAAGAAAGAAAGAAAGAAAGAAAGAAAGAAAGAAAGAAAGCAAAAAGAA